TGGCAAAAAAATCTCGCCTAATATTAGTGTGCAAACTTTTTTTCCTTTTCTTCGGTTCTTCAACTCCCCCCTCGCCTTATAATCATGGCCACCTTATATTGAAATAAGAACAGTATTTAGCACATTTTTTCTAAGACCGCCTCAATGTTAAACTTGCATCCGAACATGTGCAAAAACTCACTCCTTTCTTGCAATTTTCGCAACACTCGCCGAGATACAGGCCGACTTTGTGCCGCGTAAGTGTGAGTGCGTGCAGACGCGCATAGATAAATTTTTCGGCCATTGAGCCAATAAAGGTGAAGCAAAACTGCGATTTGGCCTAGTTAGAACATATCCATCTTGAAATTTTTTCGCAAGCACAGAAGGACACAGAAAGCGCAGATTCGAGGGAAATAAAGTGAATGTCTTTCGAAAAATAACCCAGTTGTTAGATTGCACCCATTGGTATTCCTTTTTGTGTGCTTGCGCAAAAATTTCAAGATCAAAAAAGGTGCTTTTTGGGGGGTCAATTCTTTTTTCCGGACTCCGGATTATTTGGCCTTTTCGGCGATTCCCGTCGAGTTCAAATAACCGGTCGGTGACTGTGTCTGTACATTTTTTCAACTCATGCCAAGCCTTTCTCTTTGTGATCATATTTCTCTCAGCATGAAAAAGACCCTTTAGCAAACACTTGCCGGCATCATATCAAAAAGTATAAAGGCCCGTGTAGACCACTCCCAAGTCAAAAATAAATGAAAAGTCCCGAGCAGGGCAGGCAAACTCATCGGGCCCGAAAATAACTCCTCAGGCAAAGGAAAGGTGTCTTGAGAATTAGAAGGGTGAGTACAGGTATATTCAACTATTCATCAACCCATTATCCATATTTTTTTATTTCTAGAGAACTGAGCGATGCTTCCTGACTATGCTGATTGCCCCAGAAAGGGTGAATAACGACAAACAGGTAGAACAATTGCTCATGAAATGTAAACATTTCATGTTTGTGAGGTTACATTTAGTTTCAGAGACAGCCTCGATGCAGCCGTGCCAAATGATCCCTCGGCAGCGAGTGGGTTTGAGGACTGCCGATGCAGAACTTGGCAAACACGAAGCGGCTGCAGCTGAAGGCGAAACGTCAAGCCAGTCACAGAAAATATAAAAAAGGAAAGAGTGCGTGGCACTCTGATTCAAGCTCTCCAGAAAGAATTCAAAGAAAGCCAGAAAGAGAGAGAGGTGCGGTTAATGAGCCTTCTCGAACGCCTGGTGACTGCCATTGAAAGTCAATGTGGAAAAAATTGAGAATTGAGACTCAACCAAATTGGTTCTCCCTTTTTCTTAGACAATAATACAGTCCACTCTTGAATATCACTAATTGTTCGTGACATCCTCACATCACACTATCATTCATGATATCCTAGTTTAGGCACTAACAATGCTTTTGAGCAATGGCCTTTCCGAGACGTTCTCTGTATGCTGCAAAACTTTTGTCTGTTACATCACTCTCATTATCATTTCAACTTCTTTCAGCCGCGCAATTTCTTGGAGCTACACAAAGAAGTCCCTCTCTTTACTGCATACGTTGTGCAGCACACAAGCAGCAATTATTATAAGGCAGTACTGTTTGACTGTAACAGCATTAACAAAGTAAGGCCTTCGAAAGCTTTGTTTCAGATGACCAAAGGCATTTCAATGGCACATCTCTCCTGAGGGTGGTACTTGTTATAGCGTTTTTTCTATACTGGAAAAGTCTGCTCATTATCCCAGTATGACATCAACAACCCCGAAAGCAAGGGGTATGCAGTCTCTCCAAGCAGGTAACTGTCGGCACACAACGTCTGTGCTACCTCGAAAAAAGGGCCTTTATAAAACACCCTGGAATCGTGTGCAGATCCAGGAAATCCTAGTAATACGTCAATGAACTTGTTCGTATCATTCCATATTGTACAGATGGAAATTTCCTGCGGTTGAAGTATTGAAGTACGAATGCAATGACTTTTTTGGCTTTTTAGTCTCTATGTGGCAACTGTCCACACAGCCTTCGGTGTTGCTTGGGCCTTTACCTTTGCTCCTCAGCAAAAAGCCAGTCTTGATCCACTCTTGCTCATCACTGTCTGGCCAAGAAATGACTTCTTCGTTTATGCCGTTTATAAAGCTCAATACATGCTCATACACGGCTTTTGTATACAAAGAATTTGTAATTCAATGACAAAATAAAACCACTTCTGATTCTTAATGCATGTGTGAACTGCTGACTAAGATATATCAAGCCTGTCGACAAGGGAGCACATACTCAATCGCTACCCAGGTAGCTCAGCACTACCAAGCAAGTCTTATTTGCACTTATCCGTGGGCCACCACCAGCAGAACCTGAGAAGAGTGAGGACATCTGCAAGCGGACTACGAGAACCCTGAACGTCTCGCGTGACAGCCGAAACATCCATTTAAACTCAAAACCAGGACACCAATCAACAACGTCCTCACAATACCTGGGCCTGCGATTTCTGTTCACTCTCGCAGATTTCATTGCTACCGCAGCAACTAAGTCATCGTACTCTTCGTTGTTGTCAGAATCCGTCAGCTTCATGGCGACTTGCACAACAGTTGTAAGCAGTGCAGAGTTCAACTTCGTACACAAAAGTGAAAGGTGGGAAAATGTCAATTCACGCACGAAAAGTGCATAGAGGAACGCACACCTTGTACTCTCGATGCACCCGCGCGCTTGTTTGGAATACAGGCGGAAGAACTTGCGCAACAACTGAACTTCGGCATTCGTTTCTACGTGGCTCTGCTATCTATTTAGGTCAGCACCGCTGCAGCTCTGCTGATGTGCACGCAACACGCAACAGAGGTGAACCTTTCGGCCACTGTCGTGAACCGGTTCAGAGTGGTGCAGGCGAACCGAACGGACCTATAAGTGCTCAGCAATGGAGATTGAGGCAGTTAGCAAAAAAGCTTAAAGAGAGATTTTCGCGAAGGCAATGTCACCCCGAAGGCTTTTTTTCTTTTTCAACTACTGCAGGAGCTCTTTTTTTGTCAAATGCGCTTGTTAGAAGGTCAGCCGGACAAGAATGCAAGTCAAAGGGGAAAAGCTGCATTCGGTCATTGTGTGCCCCGCACCCCAAACGAGCGAGCCACCAGTGGGGCCTTTGGGACAACGGAGGACGGAAACTTGAGCTCTTGTTTGCACACTGAGGCATTCTCGAGAATGTGCTATGTATTTCCAAAAACTACTGCAGTTTTGTTGTAGGCCAAGATTCACCCGACCACGTTATCACGTGTTGAGATCGGTTATCTCCGGTTTGCCCGATCGGTCCGTATAAGCAGTGTTCCAATCGATGGAAAACGGTAATCTTCTATGTGGTCCATGTACACGTGGATGCTGCATAATGCCGTTTAGTTAGCGACACAGACTTTTTTTGGGAGAGCCGACTCGGGGTCAACAGCGCATTTTACCTACAAAGAGCAGTTATGCGAGGGGTATGCGATCATTTTCTATGTTTTGTATTTGTGACTCAGTGCAGTGCACTGTATAAGCTTAAATAAACCACCAATGAGTGCTCCCCGAAATCATTGAGTCACTTCTGATCGCTTGCCAGTGCAGAGTTGTTCCCACACTTCTTTGTCACCCTGGTCTTTAGATGCGTCTAGCCTCAAAAGTTATACTACGATATTTATTGCGCCGACGACGGAGAGAACAAAACGATCAGTGCTGGAGTCTTCGTGGTTGTTTCATGGTAGAGAAGCAGTCAAGACACATTAGAAAAATTTGTACAATGGACACGATCGTCAAATTCTAAAGACTACAGGTGTTCTTCAACTTATTTTAATGCATGAGACTGTGATGATACCTCAATGTGATTGTTTTGTTTCCTTTGTCTTAAACACCTATCCAGCTTGTATGTTGAATTGACCTGCTGAGGATTGCAATGATAGCTCAATCTGATTGTTTTGTTCAGTTTGCCCTAAACACCATCCTACTTGTATTGTGAATTGACCTGCCGAGTATGCTCGTGCGTACTTGTGTATGTAATACCTTTACAGCCTTAACCGGAAAGATATTTTGCTTGTGTTATCAAGTATTGACTCTTACGCGGCCTTTGGACCACAACTGGTGTTCGCTGACGTAGTGAAAGAACCTAGCCAAAATTGTTCTCACTTTTGTGGAGCGTTTAAAAGGGCTAATATGTCAGCCCTCGGAATCTTCTCGAGTGACTGCTTCCCCATTAAAAGGATCAGCGACAGTTCTTCGTTTAGCCGAATTTTCTAGAATATTATAGTCTCAAAAATCTTAAACACACAAATGCCACAAGCAGTAGAAACCCAGGCTTTCACTGCTAATATAGTACTGGTAGTAAGAGCCCAAAACAGGCACATATGAAAACAAGGGGCAATTGGGCATGCTAAGCAGTATGAAAATAAAGGGAGGAAAACAAATTAACATTTTCCTATAGTAAGTGCAAATACCAGTAACTAAGCATTATATCAGATTAAACCACCAATCCTTATATATGAAACACTACTATTAAAAAATTAAATGAAATAAAAATGCTAAGAGTCACTTTCAAAAATAACTTTTTTTTTTTTCAACATACTTCCTAATAAAATTAACAATATAAACAATTACAATAGGATAATAATTGGGGAATGTCACTAAAGCAGCTCAGACATATTTATACTAGAGGTTTAAAAAAAAGCGATTGCCTGTGCATCACTAACATGGCATTCAAATAAAAGCCGCACAGTAGGAAATTAACAAGTCTCGACCAGGAACCATTAATTATTATATCCAAACGGTATTGAATAACACTGAACACACCACTTAATGTGTTTGCAAAAGTTCCCTTAATTAATCTAACACCTGAAGCAGAAAATGAACTTTACCAAATTAAACATAATGAAAAAAAAGTATTTAACTGGAACGGAGAACATTTCACTAAAGCCCCATCTCTCAACCTATGGGCAATTCATCCAGCGAATCTAAAATCAATAGGATGTAACAAATATAAAGGAATCAGGCGACTTACTCTTAGCAGAGAGGTCAGCGTCTTGTCATGCCATGGCCGTTTTGACAGGTTTGACCCGGGTGTGCTTCAAGACTAGAAATGTAGACATATAATGCAATGAACCTAAAGAGAACAAAAAACTGTTACCCTCCAAGTGTTAGTTGACAGACCTTCAAAAAATGAACCAAGTCTGGTACGCAAAAGTAATGAGACAAGCAGAAGAAAACACTTCGGAGAAGCCTTACTAACCACATCCCCAGCTAAGCACCTAGAAGGCAGCTACAAGCACAGTATAGGTGTGGTCATGACTGCGTTCTAGGTATTATTAAAAAAATGTTGAGATGCTCATGGAAAATTGAGGCAGTTTCACTCATACAAGAATTTTGACTTCTGGCGGTTGGTTGCAAACAAAAAAAAGTGTGCACACTGTCCTGCTTGAGAGTGAGCCCCAATCGAGGTATTTTGTAAGAGCCTGCTGCTCGATGACCATAGGCCTCTCCTGGACCCCCGAAGACATGAGACACTATGTATAGCAGCTACAGCTGTGTCACTATTACAATCATGATAATATTATGGACTGTCAGATCTGTGAAAAAACTTCAAAGTTCAAAACACAATATGATCACAGCCATCTTCTAGAAGGGTATCAAAGGCTAGCTTCAACAATAATACCTGGGGTTTTACGTGCCAAAACCACAATATGGTTATGAAGCTATAGCGAAGGGCTCCAGAAATTCAACTATCTGGTGTTCCTTAAAGGAGCACTGACATCAAATTTACTCATGCCAAGATTTTTGCATCTGTGCGAACATCTATAGACCCCGTAGCAACGGTTTGCGACCTAAAATGCAACTGAGAGATTAATAACTATCTCTTTTATTGATTTTTATTATTGGGATCTAGCGCTATTCAAAAATGGCCGGCAATTCCACCATTTTTAGCGCTGGGAGCACTAGCAAAGGCGCTACCTCACGGTCATCTCCAGATCACGCCACTGCTGACCACTTCTTCACAGAAAAAGTGACGTCAGGCTCAGCTGCTCCACAAACATTTCGTCGGCTAGGCGGACACATTCAGTCATGCCTTGTCACCTGCATTGCTGTCGTCGCCATACAAAATGTCGACTCGGGTTCAATAAAATAGTCTGGAGCTTTTAATCCCCGCGATTCACGACGTCGCGGGTTATTTTTGCTTCGATCGACCTTTTACAGAACAGATATTTCGAAATGAAGGCCGTTCCAAGCAGCACTGCACAGGTGCCCGAGAATGCATGCTTCAGCCATGTTCGCTAGTGTCTCAGCTATTTTAGTGTGTCTTGGCGTGCAAAACATTCAGCTATACGCAGAGGGGTCCGTGCAATATAGCTATCGCGAATGCGCATTAGCAGAGAAATAGAATATGTTTCCTGCTCGTCGGGTTGTTGTTTTTTTTTCGCGCCTCCAGATGGCCCCACCTATCCCGCCTCTCACAGTTAACATGGTATTACCACTTTTACATGGACGCAAAGTCTACGGATGAACTAAAATTCAACGATACCTGCGTGTTACTTCTTAGCAATGATGTCTGCCTACACGCTCTTCCACTTTTGATAGCTTGCGGTTATATTGATGTGTAACACATACATGATATGAAAAGACACCCTCATTGCGCTTTTCCCGTGCTTCGAACTAGACGACTGCAACTCACCTGCAACTCACAACTATTCCCCGACATGCTGACCGACAAGCACAAGCATGCTCATTTTTTTAACCATTCTTTTAAAAGTACTTTTTATTTTCACAATTTCATGAAATCGTTTAAACCAGTGCGTTGAAGATCAGGCGCGACAAGCGAGTGCGCTTCTGCACTTCAGCCCCTTGATAAGAACACTCGGATCATACACGTCATCGCTACTAGGGCATCGTCACTCAAAATAGTATTTGCGGAATGTATCACACCGAACACATAGCCCTAGTGTCGATGTCGCAGGGCAGTCTATTTTTCGTTTTTTCTCCTGAGCTTTTCTACGCTGTTTGACATCGAATTAAAATAGCTTCCATACGACGGATGCCGTTCAAATTTGGCCAAGAAGACCTATGCATACTAGCGATCGAATGATGGGCACATCTCGATCTTGAAGTTTGATGTCAGTGCTCCTTTAATGTGTACTAACATCACAAAAAACACAGCCCTCTTAGCATTCTGCCTCCTTAGAGAAAGTGACCACATCAGCCAGGATTGAACCCGGAACCTACAGATCAGCAGGTGAGTGCTGTAACTGCTAAACCACCAGGGCGGACTCCAAACTTTGATCACCTGGTGTTAACACGCATGTTATGAGACAATTTTTTTTTTATGTTTTACTGCACACATAGCTCATAACTGCTAGCACCAGCTAATTGACAAAAAACAGACTTGCTGGCTAACACGAGTCGGATAGTATGAGATTTAAGGAGTAAAAGTTCACCTGCTCGCACCTGGTAGAATAGATCTAAAATAGACGTCTCTCTGCTTACAAGCAGTACTGCTTGGCAAGAAGTTCTGCCGGCAGGATCGTTTTGCATAGCAGTGCTGCATGTGTCGACAACCCTTCGACAGAAATTTGTTCTTTTTTTCTAAAGTGCCAGCCTTTAAAAAGGAGGGTCACCGCCTATGATGCATGATTCTGTTCAGTTAACATGTGGCAATTCGCTCGTTGTAGATGATAGCCATAAAAAAAAAATCTTGTTCTCATTGGGACCGAACGTACTCAAGTTCCATCGTGACATGTGCACTGCAGTTTTGAACAAGGCACAACATTAGGGGCAGTATGGTTTTGAGCTGCTGTGCACAAGGGCACGGGTAAAATACACACTCACTGCGAAATATTTCCTGTGCATTAGACTGAGGTAACGAAACCCCGTGAAAATTAGAGCAAAATTGTCCTCTATATGGTATGCCTCATAAGCCACTTATGTGATTTTAAATGGGATAACTCAATTATATAGATGACAGATAATCTATAACGCAGTTATCTCACTGGATATGATGCCTACGATGTGTTTGCGTACTTAATTTGCTTTTTTGAACCTGACAAACAATTTTTATTCCGCATTCTCATTTCATAAAGATCAAGCCTAAAGGTACCAAGCACATGAGCTGCTGTTTCTAATAAACATATGAGGTCTTAGATGGAGTTTACATTTATTGGGTTAGCGTATTTGCCGTGGCACAGCATATATGCAGCTTCGGCAAAGGTAAAACGTGCTAATAGCTCATGCGTAATCGTATCAATCAGCCCACAGATGATACATTCTTTTTTTCCTGCACGCGGCGCAAACGCTGAGATGTAACCAGCTGCAGATAATAATGTCTAATGCATTTTCACACTTACTAAAATATTGAGTAGTGAAATTTCCTTCACGACCGGATACTGCCACCTGCCCACAAGTGGCAACGTTATCGCAAACAAGCCGCATCCTTATTCGCACAGCACCCACCACACACAATATTCTGTTTCACCATCCCTAACGATAAACCAATATTGTCGATGCCTTTCAACGCACAGTACAGGCCACAATAAACACTGCACATTTCAAAAACGATGTCGCTGTTCGTTGCACAGGCCGCCACATGGGTTTACTTCTTTAAGATAAACAGTCAGCCAGCGGGGAAAGTATATTGTCCCACAGTTTACCACATACACCTAGATGTTCTCTGGCACCTACCACATGCATTAAAAAAAAAAACTTGTCTCGGGCATTGCGCGACTATACCATGCTGAGGCACCAACAGGAATGTTAAGCCAACCGCCCCTTTGCACATGCGCTGGACGAAGCCTCTTCATGTATCGTGGTAGCTTTCACGAGTTCATTCTATCAATGTGCATTTTTCAGAACAGAAAACGCTGTTAGCTATGCCTTGTCACGTCGGACGCTAGGATCATGAAGATGGCATTAGGGAGTTTTAGTGCTCAGTACGCATTCTCTTGGGGCCTTGCGGGCTTGGGAGCGCGCGGCGTTGCGTGCCCAACCCATACCCAACCGGAATGCCTTTTAGTTGGCGCCACGGTGGCACGCATGTACGCATACACAAGCCACACGAAGTTCACACGCGCTCGCAGAGCCATAGCGTCTTGTCGCGTGAGTATTATGTAAGTCTTTTTATGATTTAAATTGTTAAATTAAACATACATAGTGATAAGGACACTTTTTTTATTGTGTGCAGTGATCTGGTATACACAAAAAAGTGAAAAAATACAAGGTTACTGTAACGATAGTGTCGACATCTTGTGACACTTTGTGTAACCGCAGTGAAGAACATGTTAGCTTACGCGTAATGTTTTTGAGGTGAAAATGAATAAAAATGTTACTCATTTGTAGTATTGTCGCTGCGCAGTTTTTGCACCAGATGTACAATGCACAATGTTTCTGCAATAACAAAGTTGTGGTTGTCTGTTTCACTATGGCCGCGCTAGATGGCGCCACCTATTCAGCTCGTCGGAGGGGGGGGGGGGCTGGCATATGTCTTTCAGTTTCTATGTTTCAGGCCATTCTAGCTTTGGAAATCTGACTGAAACCGTGTAATCGCTATAAGTGCTCGCACTTTGCCTTATTTTAACTCGACGGCTAGAGTATCCGCAGTACGGATACTTAGTTCTTGCGAAGGTGGACCGCGCGGACGCATGGCCCCATCGCCCCAGCGATCATGCGACGCATCTGTTTGGGGTTTTGCGCATGCGCAATACCGCCACCCCAAGGTCCGGCGTACGCAAGCCGCTTGGGTACCCACCACTAACACTCCCTATTGGCTGGTGAAGACTTGGGTGGGGTTCGACTGCCATTAAGACATGCATTTGCAGCAGGTGGCATCCCCCGTCTTATAAACAACTGTTCAAAGGTTAGTCCTTGCCTTGATTGATTGATATGTGGGGTTTAACGTCCCAAAACCACTATATGATTATGAGAGACGCCGTAGTGGAGGGCTCGGGAAATTTCGAACACCCGGGGTTCTTTAACGTGAACCCAAATCTGAGCACACGGGCCTACAGTATTTCCGCCTCCATCGGAAATGCAGCCTCCACAGCCGGGATTCGAGCCCGCGACTTGCGGGTCAGCAGCCGAGTACCTTAGCCACTAGACCACCGCGGCGGGGCGTTAGTCCTTGCCTTTACTTAGCTTATTCCGTTCAGAGGATTGTGGCATGTTGGAGCCCCGTCTTAGGCATTAACCCGAATAGTCGAATCTTCCACTTTTGCTTTGAGAAAAAATAAAATCAATGAACCTAACAGAGAAAAAAAAAGTTGCTGAGGGGCTTCCCGGGAAACGGAACTTATAGCGCAAACAATGTCGAAACACTAAGACCCTTGTCGAAAACAACACGCAACAGTGAGGTTGTTTCAAAATTAATGCAGTAGCACTGTTTATGACCTCACAGGTGAAGACAATGACCGGCTTGAGATGGCGCCCTTTCAAAAAGAGGACAGCATGGCGCTGTCCGGAAATGACAACTATCCGGAAACGATGTCATCCACTCAATGCATACGCTTGCGGAAACATTACTGTCATACTTCCTTGTGACGTTGGAAGTTCACTTTTAGAGCACACCACTGCGGCACCCGTTCATGCGTTGAGCAGCCAACGGAGCCTCTGCATTCACAAATATTTCCTATGCACATAAGCAGCTGCCTACTTAATGGTCATACAGCGTCCATCCATGTCATTCGTTCAATGCCAAGCATGCTCATGTGTTACGCAGTATCTTAACAAACAGCTTAGCAATTGCGGATGAACTACAACTGCACAGCACACAAACCGAGTACCCGAACAAACCTTCCGTTCATAGCGGTCATAGAAACGATGTCAACAACGGCAGTCATGCGACAAAAGCACGGCACATAATTCAGACGACCGGCAAACGAAAAGCTTCATAAGAACAAGCGCACAACGTCTACTTTTAGTGAAATGGTCATATCAATCGTTATTAGGTACGTCAAAGCACATTGTGTCGGCGCCGCGTCGCATTGGCGGCACTCACGCGTTGCAGCGCTCCTCGCCACTTGCGCAACGGTCTAACTGCATTCTCTTTACGGGATTTACTTATAGAACAGCACAACAACTCACTGGCCATACAGTCTGGCTGGGCAGACGCGTACGAAACAAGAAATTCACTTACAGCCTGCAATCAAACACGTGCGCGCGCTTTGCGTCTGCCATTTCTACATGTACCAATGTTGCTAGGTCTTAGGAAACGACGCAGCCCACCTTTGGAGAAAGTATAGGCGACACAAGGCGGACACAGTGTCACTGCTCTCCATTAAAGTAGAGATCAGTGCACAGTGCAAAGCTGGCTCATATACACCTACTGCGAAGTTACAGTGTGCTAGAAGCAGGCAGTGAAATGAACGAGGCGGCCGTGCCGCATCTCGGTTGGCGACGGTTGCTTCTCTAGTAGGTGACAGTAGCGGCGGCGCTGTAGTCCTCAGGTACTGAAGATCTCAGGAGCAACGTTTCTAGACTAGGTAAGTTGCAAAACTCCCCGCTTCAAACCAACGTTTATAAATATATTTCAGTTTAGAAACTCGCCGCCGCGGCCGTTGAACGCAGCCGGCCCGCTGCTGTTTCTGACACCGCGGCGCTGCAGTCGAGAATTGCGCTCGGGGTAGTTCTCTACTGTTTGAGGCCAGGACGGGAGTACTGCGAACCAAGACATATCGGGCCAAATACGAAGGGGTAGACACGGTATGCAGTGCGTGTGGAGAGGAAGAAGAAACTGCCGAACACTTGATATTGTTCTGTAAAGGGCTTCACCCTATAGTTCAGGATGATGGCGCAGAGTTTTTCAAAGCACTGGGGTTTAGGGACCGGGAGGGCAAAATAAACTTTAAGCGGCTAGACTTAACTAGAAAGAGGTTATTTGATTGGTGGCTAAAGTCAAGGCACGAGTGAAAATTAAACTCTTCACTGCAAAATACGAATCCTCAAACTCACTTTTTAAGGAAAAAAAAATAAATGTAGTTTTTGGTTCATTAGTTATTACGGCTTAATGGCGCTAGCCACCGCCCAATCTAAAGGGTACAGCCATATCCATCCATTCATCTATCCTATTGTTGCGAGCGTCGTCTGCTAGCTCCAACGTTGCGCTTGCGCAGCAGGCTCAGCAAGCCGTCTGATTTTATTACGCCCGTTGCAGCTTTTAAATCTTAAGCGCTCCACTCTGGTGTGTGATGTTCTTAATGCGTGTCGCAACGCATCGCTGTATTATTTTCTACGCATTCGGAACATTCGAGGCCACAAGCTTATGCTTTAACTGCGCCCTGCATACCCGGCCCTCGTTTGGGTTGACTGAAAGCGCGCGCGTGGCCTTGATAGGAAGGGAAATGTTTTCGTTGCCAATCAGATGTCCTAGACCGAATCCATTCGTGTTTTGATTGATTGCAAGGTTTAACGCGCCGACGCAACGCCGGCGTTCAGACGCGCCGTAGTGGAGGGCGCCGGATTAATTTTGGCCACCTGGGGATCTTTAACGTGCGCCGAAATCTCGCACACACGGGCGTTTTTGCTTTTCACCTCCATCAGAAAAGCGGCCGGGAATCGAACCCGCGTCCACGTGCTCAGCAGCGCAACGCCTAGCCACTGTGGCGGGATTCGTGTTTCCTCGTCCTCACTAGTATTTTCATGCTTTGCATATATTTCTCGCTGGTATTTTTACTACCAGTTTCCCACATTAGACAAAAATATCACGCATGCATGCAACTAAGGGGAAGAACACGAGACAATCAAGAGCTAAATTCAAAATGCAATATTCTTTAATTACACACTTCAGGAAACAACTGTGCAATTTCAAACAAGTTTTGCCTTCTTTCTCTCTCTTTGTGCTTTGACTGCGGAATCGTTCTCTTGGCACTTTTTGCGAGCAAAGAAATGCATTCGATTAACTAAATAAAAATGGATAACTTTACCAGTGAATTCGCTGCAGTGTTGTGAACAGCCAACTGTGTTGGTGCCATTTTCAATAAGGCTATCAAGAACCCTCCAAAAAAGATTGCCAAATGTAGCTTGTTCACTTGCTTGACTCACTGTCTTCTCAATGGTACTTATGCATGCAAATAATTTTCTGGATGGGTATACAAGGCAACCAGAAACGTGAGCACGCTCAATGATTAGCAGTGCTTCTGCAGGAAGGGCATCCTGGGAACCAACGAGATCTTTCTTGCTATCAGCACAATCTGCAGCTCTGTTAACTTTAAATGCGACATAGCCAGCTAAATAATACTGTGCAGTCTCTTCTGGCGACAACACGTTGTACGTGTGATCATCGGGGAGATTGCACAAGTCATTGAATGGTATGCATTTCAGTCGTTTCACCGCCTTTTCCTTGACTGCGTTTTTTTTTCTGAAGTGCCTCACGGCGCTTTTCACCAAGGCTGTCGAATGCACTAAGCCAAACTTGGTCATTGCCTCCCTCACAGTTTCCCTTCACTGCCAATTTCACTGGAGTGTAAAGCGAAAGTAGGCGAAATAACTGGCCGAAGTTTGTTACGGTAGGATGGTCTTCGTCTCCCCCAAATGATCTGACAAGTCCAAAGAACCTCTGCAAAAAAAAAATGGTGTTAATAGTGCCCCGTATCAATATACAAAAGCTATATTACCTCAAGGGGATCTTGATTCAAGCTTGCTGTAAGCACGTAACTGACACCCCAACTGTGTAGGAACTCAAAGAGAGCACTGACATGAGGGTGACACGAAAAGATTCCATTATCTGGGTGGATGCAAACTCCTTCAAATTTCGGATTGATTCTGTGTCATTCATCATTTTCAAAAAGTCTTCCAAGACCTGCAAGCATATGAAAATTGCAAAGCAGTTCATGAGAACATTGGTCACAGTGCACTCCAAAAGCATAAAAAGAAAATTAGAAGCAACACTGTTGTGGCAATGTAGCTTCAGTGCTAATTTGAAAAGTAGCAAGTGCAGAGATCCAGATAGCTTACCTTAATCTTGGGAGAGTCTCGTCTGATTCCAGCTGCTGGGACCTTGGCATTGAGGATGTCGAAAACATCATTCAGAAGTTCCGTAAATGCTTCAGTTCCGGCACTGTCACTGAAGCCAGCAACTTTAAGCGGCCTGTACACCTTCAAGCCAATAGCAACACTTCGGCTGAAAAGCTGCGAAGGAAGGAAACAACCATAATGTGCAAATGACGCACTCAACAGAAACTTACTTAACAAGAAATGGGACCTTGTAAGCGGGACAGGTAGAAAATTTTATTGAATTACAGTACCTGAGTGGCTAAACGGACATTCATTTTCTGGAGTGCGTGGGGTTTAACGTGGTACTCGGTGTGTTTTAGAACAACTCGAATGTTCGCTGTCTTTTCAGCCTCACACAGCCGCACGTAATGCTCATAGCTTACTTGGTTGTTTCCTATCTGAAATAAATTCAAGGGAGGCAACTTAGAAAACAGAGTACGGCAACACAGTGTATGGTTGAGAAAGAGAGTGGTGAGATTTTTTTATCCTAGCTCACCTGGGCATACTTGTGCTTCATCAGATGATTTCTAATGCACTTCATTATGTGGGGAACATCACAAATGAAGTGCAGGGATGCATCTGGAAGACAAGGATGTTCAATCTTGCACTTGGAGTCTTCAGGCTGGCCGTTGACACCCAGGTGTGTCCACATGGATTTGTTGCCCCCGGCACCATCACTGATGACTGCGAGCACTTTTGCACCATACTGATGGAGCTGCAAAACTGTACTTATTACAATCTTAGCTAAAATCCAGTCAGGTGCCGCTCCTTTAGTTGCATATGCTGCAACTGGTTGAATCCATGGTTCGAACATTGCGTTAAACATCACAACAAAAGCGTGATCTGCCAGCTCATCTGAGTCTGTGTTGGATACGTCCCCGTAATTGACAAAACCATCAAAGCTGTAAGATGTTCTGTTAAACTCTGTGGTCTCTCTCAGTTTAATCTCATCGATGATGATTGAGCCATATGTATGGTTCTCTGGCTTTCCATTCATATGAAGCTTGATGGACTCCAAGGCAAATTTATTCATGCCATATTCGCATGGCAGACCCCTGAGCAACTGTGCGAGGCGAATAATGCTAGGAAGGGGAAGAACCTTCATATCAGAGAGCGTCCTGTAGCACTTGGGGCTCGTTAGTCTCAGCAGCAAGCACACCAGGAGCCACTCTGTCGTGTACCTGTGGCCACGTGGTGACTTAGCTGCTTGTTGCATTATGGCAGCACGTAGGGCCATTTTCTGAGGCTCAGGCAAGTCTTTCACAATGTTATCAACAGTATTTACAAAAGCATTCTTCAGCTTAATGCTCAGTCTTTGGACTTCAGCCTTTTTGCGCTCTCTGGCAGCAGTGGCACGTATGAGACGCTTTCTGAGTATGCTGGCTGCAACAGCCACCTTTTTCCTCGGCTGCTTTGACAGAGCCTTTTTCTTCAGTATTTTTGCCACGCCAACACACATGGCACACATTCCTTTGTCAGCATTTCTCAAAACTGTACAGTCTTTGTGGTGCACAGCTTCACTTCTTTCTGCAGATTTTCCGGAACCGCTGACCTCACTGCGGGTGCACCCAAGGCAGAATTTCATACTGTGCACAATTTGCACTATCGCTTCAACGTCTTTCTGGGAGCGTACCAGCACGTCAACAAGCGACTCTTGCAGCAGTTTTCCGTTCGCTGAAATAACGTACGTAAGATCTCGTATCACAACGCTCTTCATGATAGAGAAAACACCTGCGCTCATCCCTGTCTCGTAGAAAACTGCTTGCCGGCTGTTTTCTGGCTCATCTTGCACAATTGACAACTGCCAATTCCGAGGAAGCCGCAGTGAGGCACTGTTCTCGATAATGTACGCGAGATCAGTGCTCTCGCAATCACTCGGAAGCTCATTTGGCTCTTCGGGAGGTGGGTGGCAAGACACAGTCTCTGCACGCCGACAAGCACTTGCTCTCTTTTTCGGCGACCGCCGCCTCTTCGGTGCAGAAGACAGATAGCTGGGTAAGTTCGGGAATTGCGTCGGAACGACACCACTTTTCAGCCATGCACCCCGCTCCCCGCTCAACCTCCACCACTTCACTATTGATGATATGCTTATATCTTTCGTGATGTCTGCGGGCTGAAAGTGAACGTCGCACACCTTGCATGTTTTGCTGAGCAACTTATCAGCGCGGGGAATAGCCCTTCGCCACATGTCAAGAAGCTCAGGGTCCGACGGTGGGACAAAAAAGTGCCG